GTGGGCACCGTGCGGCCGCGAGAGTCTTCATCGCGAGAAAGCAGCATGCGTCGTCTTACACAGCCTGTTTCGTTGATAATCGACGGCTTTATTTTCCTTTATACTCGCGTCGGGAAGTTTCACTCTTCAATTAAGCCGATGATCATGGGAACTGGGACGACCAATACCAATCTGTAGCTGGAAAACAGAAGAATTATTGAGGAAGTAATTTTCTAGATTTGGCTAAACAAAAGCTTAAAAAATGATTAGCGTAAGAAATCTCTAAAGAATGAAGACATTTAAACGAAGATTGGAACATCTTTTTCTAGAACAGAAATAAAAGCAGTATGATTTTTTAAATTTATGGCGCATTCTGACGCATAGCACGTCTACGTTTTTGAGGAACGGCTACGAGAGAAGCCGTAACGCTCGACGAGGTAAGAGAAGACGCCAGTAAACGCATTTTTGATAAAAATACGCTCATAGTGAGATTGTCTGTCATCATCCTGGCTTATTCTCTTCTACATTTTTGAATACTCTTTTAATCTTTGATATAAACCACGATGTTTAATTTTCCTGACGTCAATGAACTCCGTTGTAATGAGAAGGGAAATGCAGAAAGTGTATTCATGGTTACATGAGACATAATATTGCGGCAATGCGGCAAAAAAACAATCACTTTGCGGCGCGAGGTAACGCGCGATGTGCTATTAGGATAAGGCGCGGAACGGACTGCGAAGAGCACAGTAGTCGTTCAACTATTAATTATGTATTTAATTGCACGACGCATTAAAACGTTCGGAGAAAAGAGTAATAATAATGCGCAATTATGAATTACACGGGGAAAGTAATTACATTCGGTGCGAGCAACGACGCTCGTTACAACGTTAACAACCGTTGTAAAGTAACGCGATAGACCACTCGGGCGCCCGACGGAGAGACGCCGCCGTCTTACAGCGCCGGAGTTTCCCGGCCGCGCGCAGTTTTCCGATTAATTGCAAATAATTAGCGGTTGATTCCGCGGCGCGCGAGATAGCGGTACAAGGGCGTATGCGCCGCGTATCCTCCATTGTTCGCGCGTGTTACCCAGACGCATTGTTGCGGTGCATCCTGTCGATCTCGTCGCCACCCCCCCGCGGAGTTTCCTTCTCCGCGCGGACTGTTACGCCGCGCGTTTTCGCGATTCGCAAAATCACGCGATTCGTGTAATGCTTACCGCTATCTAAATGTCATGCTTGCCGCCGCGGTGCCGTCGATTCGAATATTTTTAGCACGCCCGAGATGATTCGCATCGCGGGAAATTTTGCTGGTATCATATCCAATGCAGTTCTATTCTTGTGAGCCGCGGTACTTTGCTCTCGGCTTTATTGTTTCCCCGGTGCCGGATCGCGAGAGACAATGCATCGTGATTCGCACGCTTTGAGGACGGTGCGACGTCGCGGCATTCCCGGCGCCGCGGTAATGACCGCGCGTCGTAATTGTTTTAAATGCCAACGAGGTAACAGCGCTTACGCGAAAGTGCTATGCGCGAAATGAGAGGACGAGCGAGGACCTTTCTCGCTTGAATTTCACGCCTGGAGGGAGCGGGAAAATAAAAATGCGCGAATGATATTAGAATGCAAACTAACTTAATCTTATGCTCGGCATGCATAATTGATTGAATTGTTGCACTAATTTAATAATAAACTTTATAAAATACATATTTTTCTATATATAAACGCTGATATGAAATGTTGCGACAGGAAGATAATATCTGACATGAAAAATAAAAAGTGAACACATGATTCATGAAGTGACATATTTGATTAAAATCCTTGATAATAAATGATAATGTTTTTTTAAAGATTACTAAGAATTACTCATTACACTTTCGCATTAACTGTAGCAGGCCAGTAATTTTTTAATATTATATTTTTCATATTATCTCTGTTATTTATATCATTAACGCGCGACTTGCGATGATAATTTGCTCGTTTAAAAATACGAGAACAAAAATTTTTTAGTATTTTAGATGCTTTACTGTAATACATTAGAATCATGGCAATCATTTTCGATGTTTTACTTTAATTATCTTAAGTGTGTTTCTATAAAAACTAGATTTGTAGCGGCACTCTGCGTATTTTTAAACGCATTTTGAACTGTCGTGAGTGTTTTTCTCTGTTGAATGATTCATATTTCTCTGCAGCGCGTTTCATATATCAAACTCAGTTTGTTTCTGTTGCGCACTTTCATTTCTCCGATAAAACTCTGATTTTTAGTTTCGCTTTTTGCAGCGTTTGTATGCGTTATGATACTTAACCATTTCATAAGCAGAAGAAATTAGAAACGGATTTAATACATCATGGTAAGAGAACAGCGAACTCAGCCACTGTAACGTGGCTAATGCTGCTTACGATTATTAATAATTCATATGTCATAACATTATTTTGACCGAGTGAAAAAGCGTTGCTAATTTATGCAAGGTTTTATGATTCGGTTTTGATATTATGTACGATATTATCGTAAAAGTTCTGATTATTCAACATAATGACTCACGTGTATTAATGTTTTTTAATCGTGAAGTAAAGTACTCTCTTAATTACGGTGCAGGACTTAGAGTTTGTTTTGTTTTATGCGCAGGTATCTCGAAGACATGGGACTGGTAGAACGCGAAGCTGAGATGCAAGACCTGAACGTAGCCAGACCCGGAAGATCGAGAGATCTCTTCGGAGTGCAATTGGAGGTAAGAATTATGCGGGCATTTCTATTCAGCAATGTCACTTCACCGAAAACGTGGGGGAGAAGCGCAGATCCTACGATAATCTTCGTGTAATTAAAGCTATTCCGAAGAGATCAAGTTTGTTCAGAGACCTTGAAAGTGGGAACAAGCGTGAAAGAGAGCGAGTGTAACTTAATACGCGATCTCCCGTATCCTTGTCGAGGACGAGAATGCATATTCGATCGGGGATTGGCTGTCCATTCACCCGAGAGTACACTGGTTGAATTCAATGGTCACTTTTGCCTGCGATCGTAGTGTAGGCCAGTGAGAGGCCCGACCCAGAAAATCCGTGTCGGTTCTGGTGTAACGGCTAACCACCTGAAACTGAAACAGTCGAGGAAAGTTCGTTCGTTGCACTTTCCTTCGTGTCACGACGACCGATCTAATGACTATACCTTTCTCCACTCGTTTCTTAGCCGATGAATTGTACAAGATACTAGAAAAGACAGCGATGTCGATCGCCAGATGTTTTTTTACAACATCTGGTTTAGAATCTTGTATCAGTCTTGTGTCTAAAAATTTTTGATCACATTCTTTATACTTAATTTAATAAAAACACTTTTACAATTAATAACTTTAGTATTACTTTCAATAAAATAGGGATTTTTAAATTTGTTACTGTTTAAAAATTTGAGAGAAATTATATGATAAGTGAATTAAAAAAGATAAGTTCATTAAAACATAAATTTCTGGTGAAAAATTTTATGATAACGTGGAAGTTTGAGAAAATTAATTTGAAAGGTTGGGTCGTGGCACGTGACAGACTTATCGGAGACAGAAATGGAAAGGCGGAACTATAATTATGCAGTAATTAATGTGCGAAGTTATATAGGATCATAAATGAATGACGTAATAACTGCAGAGTAGCGGTCATGCGACGACATTTCGTGAGTTATCGAACAAACGTACGTTGGCACAGCTATTTTAGCGTAATTTGATAGCCAAGAATATGACTTACGCAACGGTTTCTCGATGTCCTATCGTTATTATTAGCAAACATTTAATAAAGCAACATTTAATTAGCTCATATTAATTAATATGCTTATAACGAAATACACATTAATGATACATATATGTACAAGGTGTACACACATTCAAGAAGTGCCGCGAAATCAGAACTGTACTTGCCGGGGACATTGAACGCCGCTGAACTTAGAGAACATTTCTACAATTCACACCTGATCGATATTCGTTCGACAATTCTCGGAGCACGCTGTCTACTCTGCGAAGTGACACTTCCTCAGAATAACGCGCTACGTCGACAGGGAAATGAGATCGCGAGAGATGAAAAGCAGACACATTTTGTAAGTTTTGCGCGCGAGCGTATCAATCATCGTGGAACTCGGTTACGGTCCCGCGAATTCAGAACTGTTTTCACTTTTGTGTTAATCGTGAATGATTATCGCAATTATCATAAAATCAGAGCTGTTCTCAGCCAGCGAGTTGTTGTTGGCTTGCGTCGTTTTTCGAGCTTGAACACTCGCTTTCATTACCGGAAGACAGATCTTTCGACTTCCTCGCGCGGAATCTGATGACTCGATATACTGACAAATCAAAGTTCACTCGTGCAAATTATATTGCATACCTGCACGTGTGTCATATTGCACGTAATATGTACTTTCTATAACGGCCTAACATTGTTCAACACAAGCTAACACAATTGATGAATCATCCGTGTGATAATGAAAGTAATATCAAACACCGTGTTCATATTACATTGTTTTCTAATCTTTTCGTCTTCACAATACACTTCTAACATGATGTATAACCGAGTGCATAATTCTAAAGACAAAGAAGGAAGAAAAACGAATGTGCAAGCGAGTTAGTATAAAGATCTGTAGACTCGTTATAGGCAAATGAGTATATTTAATTAAATTACACAACGTGCGTTAATTGCCCGTCATTTTATTCATTGAGGATATACGCTTAACGACGTTAATTATTACACGTGATTGAATCACTGGAAATGTTGTTCCCGCGCGTAAATCACATTCGCTTAAAAACGATGAGGCTTCGCTCCTCGTGGCTCTTCTTTGCTAGATTCCTTCATGGACTCGCCAGTTAATTCGCTTCATCACGGATAATATCATCCGTTTCGATCACCGCGTCGTGCTACGTTATGGCATAACAGAGAATCGCGGTTGAGAGGATCATCAAGCTAATCGAAAGCGAAATTAAGGATTGTGGTTTGCCGCTGGATAAATCGATGGAGATAAAATTGCTCGCTTCGATTGAGTCGGTCATTTCGAAAACAATATGAGCTCGTAATGTTTTTCTTTTGCATCTCAAAATCATAATTCCGCGTGTTGTTGATTTAATCTTGCCGTGACACAGAGTCATATATAACGGTGCATAGCCATTACTCGAAAGTAAAACCGCAGAGGATCCTTGAAATAATTATGCGGTTGCGTGTTGGGATTTAGTAATTAAAATAAAAACAAAGCTCTAGAGATGCTTCTGCACTGCTTATTTCTCATGATGTTATTTCAATGTACTGATTTTCGTGTAATTTGATTTGTAGTTACGTAAGACATTTTTTGAGAATGCCATTGTAAGAATATTGCGGCCGAATACACCACCATAAAAAGAGTTCCACGCCATGCAGGCGCGCGCATAAAAATTTTATGCAATCGGTGCTGTCGATATTTTATAGATCCCATCAAGATTGTGTTTGTGTGCTCGAGTGTCGCGATAAAATATCGACGACAATTTAATTGCGCTTAATTGAGCAGTTACGCGCGACGTTCAATTTCACACGAGGCATTATCCGGTCACTAAAAGCGACTTTATTTCTTCGATTTCAACCGGCCTGGTGTGGGCAAGTGAGGATGCGCGATTACGATAGACAGGATAATAACTTGATGCCTTCATAATCAGCATCGTATCGCGGCGATCTTTAATAAGCGGAGTCAGTGTACCAAGAAGTTGCGCAAAGTTTTATTTCGACAGACGGCTGAGTCCGTGCGCTATCCTGTATCCGTTTTACGATGTACGCGGTGCACATGTCGACGTTGTTTGTCATAAAGTGGAAAGTTTAATGGAATTGTAGTTCACGTTTTATTGTCAATGTGTACGATAACATGGAACAAATTCGTATTTGCGATACGCGAACACGTGAAAGTAAAATACAGTATAGTCAGAGATTTTAAAATGTCAAATAATTAATTCTAATTATTTTTTGGAAGTAACAGCACTGCGGTGGTTTCAATCTCGTTACGATGACGTTTTTTCAGCTTGGCTCAGTTCGAACTTCGCTAATAAAAGTTTGCGCTGACCAAGTTCGATTTGACACTCGTGCTCTCTCAAAGCTGGTATTTCAAGCTGACTTATCATTGAACTTTGTTCAAACTGAGGTATTTTAGTTTTGCATCAATAAAGCATTACGCTCTGGCAACGAAACTCTCACGTGTTCTGGTCTCAGCAGCGTTCGGAAACTTCCGGTGATCGCGTGAACGTAATCGACGCGCTGCGTTGCTGCGATTCCCGACTGATAGGAGCTCGAGGGGTTCTCGAAGGTCCGGCTCCCTCTTGGAAAACCTCTCGCAAAGCGAGCTAAGACAGAGTCTCGTAACTCTCCGGGTTTCTTCCTTTGAGAGAAGTTCCGTCTCTCGGAAAACTCTAGGGACAGCCAGTTGAACAATTCGAAACGACCAAACGTACCTTAAAGTGAAGCAAACACATTCATCCGCAATTTGCTTGTTGGAATAGACTTTCAGTTAGAAACGTGTAGCTACAGAGTGAAATTTTCATTGTAAAGAAATTTCTTTGAAATCTTTCAAATCGATGTCTACATTGATGCACGCGTGCAATACGTTACGAAGAAATATTTGCAACAAACTCGATTTGAAGTTTCCACGTTATAACGAGAGTTTATTTATCGCGATTTATATATCGCGTGAATAATCGCATGAATCTTCGATTTCTTCTTATTTCATAAAATTAGCTTACTTTGTAAAATGCCATATAAAAAGATTCGCGTAGGTTACAATTTGTTGAGCAAGAAACTGCGTTTTCTCGTAAAATAATCGTTCTCTTTTTATATTCTTCTTTTATGTGAGTTTGGTTTACGAAAGCGTTAAGAAAATCAAAGATTATTTCTGTACAAATATGCATTATAGAAGTGTATAGTGCACAAAAATGTATAAATATCTCCTTTGATTTACATTATATTGCAAAGTGAGAGAAACACGCGCTTATTCGGCGATAGTTACATTAAGTTATAATTTTTTTATCACTTTCTAACTTTTTTCGACTCAATATTATTTCTTATCAAGATATGCAAAATTGGATAAATTCTAAACCATTATTGCACCGTGACTTATATCTAAAGATTGTTGGCATTGAATTCATTCTTCGGCTTTTTACCGCGGTAACGCGATATAATTTAAATTCCAACTCGGAGTACAAACGTTTAACATACCTTACGATGCGACCATAAAATGTGGGATGCCGCTAATTCTTTTGCGGCCGCTGGCATCCACACATAGATCTTCGTAATGCAGTTATATCTTTTGCAATGAAACCTGTCCGTTGGTCTACTCGTATTAAAACAAAAATACGTGGAAAAATATTAAAGAAGGAAAATATATACAAAGTAATTAAAATAAATGCCAAAAATTAAAAGGAATATAAATATAAATAAAAAAAAGACATATTTTATTTGAAATGAAAATGTAATAGTGTTTGCTGATACAGAGTTGGTAATTAATTAATTCGCATGTAATTGGCACGGAACACATATATTATTTTATATTTTAAACATTTTAGTTATTTTTCAATTTTATATCATTTTCGCTGCATTTAGCTAATTTTTATAAACATTATCTTACATCTTATTATAATTATTCCTATCACCTACTTGCGATTAGTTTGTAACTAGTTGAAGAAAAAGGATTAAAACAGATGTAATGTGACACATATAAGATGGACGCACGTGTAATAAGACATATAAATTGAAACGAACGTAAGAGAAAAGATAAGGAATGTAGAACATCTTGAAAACATCTCTTGATTTTACCCTAATGATCTGGATAGAAAACTGGTTAACGACCATGCACGCATTAAAGGAGCAGTGCAACACGCATTCGCGAATGCGTCTCACGAGCTTCGATCTCCCGTGGAATTAACATAATTCGACAATAACTCATATAATCGTATGAAATTCAGTGCTTTCGGTCAATTACAGAACGCATTTGTACGCGCAATCCGCCGTGGAGCGCAGCGAGCTTAGACGAATCATGGCCACGAACGGCTCGTATCTCCTTGCACTTATCTATGCAGGTATCTCCCTGCTTGCGTGTACGCAATTGATGCTCGTGTTATAAGTGTAAGAACACAAGATTTACGTACATACGCACGCGCCGTTGCGTACGTGAAGAGGTTTACGCGTATGATACAGCTCGCACGCGTGAAATCGAATGCAGGTGTTTGTATATGCGCGTTTGTATGCGAATTATCGTGCGCTCGCGTGGACGCAGTAGGGAAACCAAAATCATTAGGAACATAAATAGAAACATGAGTTTCATGTCATTCATCATCTTTTTATGCAGCGTTTACAAATAACGTGCTGTTTTCCAATAATTATATGCGAGATAGGTGCAAACGTAAATGAAAGATATGAATAGAACGACTAAGTCATGCAAGTCATTTAATATTTTTATAGTTATAAAAATGTATTAATTTTTGTTTTTGTTTCTCTTTCAATATTCTATCTGTATTCAAAGTAATTAGTTTTATCTACGTTTAAAATTTTTATTTATTTTGCTTTATATTGCCTGAAATATTATCAGACTACATTGTTTTGTTAGATTTAACAGTTTGTAATGTGCATCGATATTATATTTGCTAGTTTCTGTCATAATTATTCTTCAAAACTATACAAATGCTAACTTGTCCAATTTGAAATACATTTTATTATTTCCAAATTTAAGAAAAATAATAAATAAATATTATTTCTAGTATTAGTTTATTTAATCAATATATCAACATATGATTACCTAAGATAACTGCCTTGCCGCCAGTTGATATAGTCTCGCTCTGTAACATTTTCTCTTTTATCAAACGCGTTCTCTGACGGTAAAGGTAACGGTTTCTTCCTTTGCGACTGCCTATGAAAAGAAGTAGTCAGTCAGACTAAAGCGACTAAAGAAGGCATGTAATTTTCCTTTTGCAGAAAGGAAAGTTATATTATAAGGTAATCAGTCATTCGAAGCGATATCAAAACTCCACAAATTGAAATTTTGACAATTTCAAGAAGCAATTTATAACGCTATATCAAAGTTTAACTACTGTTTCATCAAACGACATTGCAAATATTTCCTAACCTTTGAAATACTGTTTCAGGTCACTTCGTTACTATTGGAAGGCGAGCGCCGCAAATTGGCAGTCTTACAAAGAGAATTGCAAGCAGCTCTTGAAGAAGGTGGAAGCGTAAAAGTGAAGGAAAAGCAGAGGCAGGAATTGCTGCATGCAATATCGTGAGTTTTCTCTTTTACGTGTGTTACTAAACTAATACTCTTATAAACAGATTGTTTCTTATCAATAAGTAATATTTCTCAAAATCGCTCGAGTTTCCTTGCTAGAGAGAGTCGCGCGCGTATTGTATATTTTATATATACTAAGAAAGATAAATATTTATATATCATAATAAAAGATGTCTCAAATAATATATTTATTACTAATATATCTATTACTATTACTAAGAGGCAACTAACACGCGAATTTTATGTTAGGACAAACTCTCGTGGGATCGCGGAAGCTTAACTTCTAAAAGATTTAGCGAGGTCGGTCCCTTGACGGAGTAACTATTTTATCGCTGCACTTTTACACTTCCATTAGAAAATGTTTCATCGCGTTATCTTCAGCATACTCTGCATAATGCTTAAGCGAATGTAACGAGTAAAATTACGCTCTAACGAAGCTTAACTCATTAATACCAAGGTTTAAACTAACTTTTCAGTTTGTAGTATACGTAGCAACACAAAGTTTTGTAACTTGCACATTATCCTATCGTCGCGTAAAGTTCAATTCCACGATTTATCGTAAATACTTTGCGTCGACTACATAATGAATCTACTCACCGGAAGCGGAAGGCCTGACGCAGTTTCAGGCGCATTACACCTGCTAAACTTATTTTGTAGATGGTTTTGAAATTATTCTCGCTTCTCGCGCCGCGTGAAAGGTAAAAGAGGATGGCGCCCTGAAAGAAGAGTGCGGGTCAGTGAGATGCGAGACTCTTTATTTCACGCGTACCAAAGGCGAAGTTGTTTACACAGCTCTGTCCCCGCATTTGTGGTCTTCCGTCCGGTGTTTGCACACGGTGGCCCTCCCGCAGCCGGCCTCTTCATTATACAGCACTGATAAATTTATGAGACAGTAGACTTAGGAATTCTATAGGCGTTCGTGTCCCTAATACATGAAAAAGTGTGAATTTAAAGAGACGCTCGCCTTAGAAGGGCTGCATAAGTTAAAGATTTTTATGAGATTCAGATTTGTTTTGATTTATGTTGGTCAAAAATTGACGTAAGATAAAATACATTACAATATAAGATAGATCGAGGTATAAAACACGAATTACAGTAGAATTATGCGATAAAAATAATAAAGCAACACTTTTATTATTCGATACGAACTTTTATGTATTCATTGCTTCCGGGCTATACAGCGGCGGTATCTGTTCTGGCTGAGGCAAAAGATAGGAACTGCGCAAGAAGAAACATTTCGGGTCGTGGAGGTACTTTGCGACGGATATCGAATGTGTAACCATTGCTTAAATCGATTCTATGGCGACGTGAAAAATCTTTTGGAGAGAAAGCTTGAAGGAAAAGCGATCTTCAATAACGTTTATGTAAATTTATTCGATGTGAGATATCACACTATTACATATAATATGCTAATACATTATGATTGTATATTGCAGTATATTGAGATATTGACAAAAAACTATAAAGTTATAAAATACGTCAAATTATAGAGTATCACATTTAATTTTGCTGAGATTTTTTTATCTTTTTAAAACGTATTTTGTATATAGAGTAGAACGTTAGCCAAGTCTTTGTAGGCAAGATTAGCATGTTATCGCCGCCACTCGGCGTGTTAAAGCGTCCTGCAACTGCTTTCAAAATCAGCTTAATCGACAAAAAAGTCCGTGCGATACCTCGCCCGTGCAATTAATTCCCTTCCGAACTTTACTGCATCGTCAAGCTTCGGAGAATTTCTCGGATAGACGGAGAACCCTCTCTTGTGCCTGTCCACCGTGTGCTTGCGATCACATGTGCATAAAATCCTCGCGCGACGAAGAAGACCAGCTTGAGCTCCTAATTTATAAGATTGTTTGCTTTCCCGTAATTGCCTAAGTTCCCCCGCGCGAGGAACTTTTTCAGTTTGTAAATCACTGGCTGAGCGTCTCTCGGAAAATATGCCAGTGGGTCGTGAGGGTGCTATCGTCTTCTCGTTATGGCAGTTCAGGCTTCCGGCTAAGCGATCGGGTGGTGGTAGTCAAGCTGCTCTTACGATCTCGTAGTTTTGAAACGGTTGAAAATGGTACTTCAAGTGATGAATTCCCAACGCTTAACTTTAGGACGTAGAAGCACTTTTACTTCCGACAAATTAAACTTATGAGAATTGTAATAACTGTTCATGTCTCAGTTATCGGCGTCATCTCATTATAATTTTATTCGTTGTGACGCATTCAATTAACGACAGAAAAATCTCATCTTTCGCGCTCTTGTTTTTATGAAACACTTTTATAATAAATTACTGTTTCCGTCATGTTCTTTGTCTGCAGGAAAATTCAAGGGCAACACGAGCAACTCGACAAGGAGTACAGAATCCACGCCGCCGGTGTTCTCTTATGCAACTCGAGGGGCTCCGGAAAGGTAAGGACAGACACCATTATTCTTTTCCTTTTTACTCGACGATTCGCAGAAGACAAATGATCTTCTCGATTATTGCTGCACGACGAATCATTGTCCATTGCGAAGCTCAAGCATCGGCGTTCGCTGACATTTGACGCCTGAGTTTTCTTTGTTGCTCCTTGAAGTAGATCGATAATTCCTTAGAGATAACGATGTCGCACTAATCTATGTTCTCATCAAAGTACTCTTATAGATGCTCTACTTCCTTCCAATTTTCACGGATAGTGCAAGATATCTCTGACTAATTACGTTTCCGTGTAATGACAATGACACTGTGTGAATAAGTAAAAGATCCTGTCATTCGAAGAAAAATATTTAAACTGCAAACAGTGAGAATGAATCGTTTATGATGCAGAAGAGATCGAGATAATCCATCAAATTGATAAACGCATATCGCGCGTCGCTTCATGTAAAAAGTGTGGCGTGTTTTGAATTGTCAAAATGATCGATTACAGGTGCTTTTATTCTTTTTATTTATGGTCGACCGTGGACAGGCTTGTCCTGTATTCTCATCTCAATTGAACATATAACATATACGTATATATATTTTTTTTATTCACAACATTATGTTCCGCTTCGGTTATTTGTTGATATTTTAATTTTTCTCTCTTTAAAAAAACTATTAAAATTATATTTCTCAATATTTTTGATTAATATGTCATGTAATATTACGAAGTAAATACGAAGTGGAATTGATTAGATTATCTTAAAGTATATCGGGAATTAAGTAAACCTTGATATAGCTTATCTCGCTGTCTACTTTCTATAGCCTTTGAATTACGGTAATTAATTAAGTAAATCTCTTAGATTCTTGCGCATTTAGAACGGAGGAGAGATCACTAATTTTATTCTCTCCTTGCACAAATTATTATTATAAAAAAAAGGTAAATTGGGACAAAGTTTTTTTTTTCTGAAATCTTATTGGTCCTGTTGCTTTGCTGCCATGCTCGATATCTGTAACAATCACTTTACTTCCAGGAGCTCTCAGGAAGCTTTAGTAAGCTCCGGTAAGCTGTTATTAGACTCGGTACATAATAGACTGTCTACCTCGCCTCCGTTCTGCTTTGCATCGTCGGACTTTCAAACGCTTGTGTCGCTTTATTCCTTTCATTAAATAATCTTAGCGCAAGAAATTCATAAGAGGCCAATATAAAGCCGCCGAGTGTGCTCTTTTCTTTCGTCTAATTTGTGCCGATAATTAAGTTTTGCAATGCATTAACATAATTTCTTATTACGCATTCTCGTCGTCACTGCTATAATTACGTTCTTTCTTTGAAAGTAAGCTTCGTGGAAGCTATAACGCGCCCACGATACGCCCTGGGAATATAACGAACGGTAATACAATGATATCCACTTACTGAATTCTGTAAAACTGTCCGCTATTACAGCATATTATTTTATCAAGTAAAATAATTGTATTAATAATTACTACGTATATCTTGATTATTTAAACATTTTTTGCGTTTTAAGCAATAATGTCCTATTAAAATTATTATGGCTAATTATAATTGGATTGTATATCGATATGCAAAATTTTTTTGATCAAAAAGTTATTATAATATTATTTTTTAATAAGAGAACATTTAGAATTTTTTTTATTTTTGTATGGTGTTATAGTAATTTAGTGTAGATTTAATAGAATATGAAAATTGGAGATACATATTTTTTTTTAAAGTTAACTCGATATATTTAATTTTGATTAAATGTTACCGATTTTATAAAAAGTAATTCAAATAAAAGTTTTATGATATTTACATCTTTTATAGCCATTTATTTTAATATTTTTCAAAATTTATATTCAATTCCAAACATAAATTTTAATTATTTTAGAAAAGGTACGAATATGAAGTACTTTCAACATCATAAAATTTTCTTTTTCAAACAATTTTTCACCATGAATTGATATTGATATTCAGTGATGGTAAAATGTGTTGATATAACTTTGGACAAAGGTTTTTTTAAATTTGCATCAAAACGTGTATATACAAAAATATATGCGTCTTTTGTTTTGAATTGCTGTACACGCCATACAAATTAAAACGGGAAAAAAATAAAAGCATTCTTAAAAGTAATTTATACAATATAAAATGTTAAAAGGAAAATTGATGGATGCATCGTATATGAACAATTAATAAGCTAATTATAAGTGAAGATGCTGTTAACAAACATGATATGCATAAAAGTCACGTGTGAAACAAACGAGCTTGCATAAAATTCACGAGCGGTTTATTCGTCAGTAATAAACGTCGTATAGCAGGCAATTCTGCCTAGCTTTAAAGGTGATGTGAATGTATCGCCTAAGGAACGAGCGAGTTTGCCAAGAAAATCAGTAAGATAGACGACTCTGCGCTCTGGCGTTGCACAGCGACGCTTCGGTCGTAATATATTCAATTTCTATTCCTTCCTGCATCCGCGCTCGTCTCCCCGTTTGGTAAACGAAGCCTTGGTTATCATCGCGTCGTAAATCCATTTACCGTCAAACTTTTTAGTCTGTTAATGCCAGTTATTTGATTCACTGCAAAATGCTATGCAAACGTCAATTGAATTGAAATCTTCGATTTATGTGCAGTGTCCTGCATTCATATATCGCACTTCGTAAGCTTCATCGAACTGAGGATATAGTTGATAATATAATATAATCGAAAACCAATCGTTTGCTTGAATCGCACTGCAGATTGGATAGCTACTTCTTTCTCTTTCGGCTTGAAATTTTTCTTAATGAGAAGTCAGTGTGACGTGACGAACTATGTCGAATTGGTGGCTACACAACGAACAATTTTATCAAGTTTTTTGTTGCTGAAAGGAGAAAGAAGAAGAAGATGGGAAGATGCGCAACGTAGCCGAAAAGAACATTCAACTTTCGAGAACATTGGCGCTGAACAAGATAAACCCCTTCGGCGTTTCATCGTCGGATCCACCGTGTAATAGATTCAATTTCTTTAGCCACGTCTATCTCTCTCTCGTTTTCCTTATCTTTTCTTTTTGTCTTCGAGTCCGGGCTGAGCACCATCCTCGGTAAATGAAAGTTTGGCGGGGGGATTATCGCGCTTTCGCAAGAACGAAATATGGTCGTGCCGGGTACCATTGCGAACTCTTGAAACGTTCGAGAGTCGTCGATTCTATTTCAAGCTTAGCATCTTCGAGAGAAACTAAAGCTTCCAGGAGCTACGGAATCAGAGTGCGGTAGAACGGCAAAGGACGTTATAGCATTATATAGCATCGAACTATATGGTCGTATCTGGGTCATCGCGGTTTGAAGTGGGCGCTCCAAGTTGAAGTAGACGCTGAAGAATGGGTATTCGGTCGGGAAATGGGAAGTTCATACTGAGAAGATGGGAAGGGCAGTGGGAAAAGGACGGAAGGAGGTATGACTGAGAAGTGTGTGCACTGCAATAGGTAGAAACGAAGCGCGAGTGTCGAACAGGCGTCGAGAGAAAGGCGAACCTCGTAGAAAATAAAACTAGTGACGCTCGAACGGTCGATGGATGCAAATGGAAACGCAACGAAGTGCATTACGCGGCGGGGAAGCCGTGTAAAAACGACGGCTGAATGACGATGGGGAAGAGATGCAGCGGGAAGCTGTGCAGGCCGTCATCGGAATGTTGACGGTGAATCGAGATGAAAGATATGAGCGACGGTAGGAGAATAGATCGGTTGCGCGATCAAACTAAATAACGGCGCTTACCGCATCAGCACGTGACACCCTTCCTTACGTCTGCTTCGTTTTCTTCTCTTCCTCGACTTCTTCCTCCGGCTGCTTCGTGACCATCTTATTCCATTCACGTTCGACGAACGAGGGCGGGATGCATTAGCGGTGTTCAATTACAAGGCAGTACTTCGCCTTCAGGTCAGATGCATTTACCTCGTCGTACAGCTAAAGAGAGATGGTGATACGATTATCTCGAGTGCGAAAATAATAAACTAATTTGCAAGTCAAGGCCTACGGATGAGTTATTACAATCCGCCTTGTCTTTAATACATTCCGTACTATTGTATTCGTGCACATTTGCGTGTAATGTTCATTGCGCAGACTGATAAAGTATTAATTGTTATATACAATTTATATTGATCGTAATTGAATAATAATTTTGATTATTATGCCCATTTATGAATATCAATTTTCCCTCGTATTTTCCGAGAGAAATGATTGAAACTTGTAGCATTAATTTGAGTTTATTGTTAGAAAATAAATATACGCGAGTACGTATTATATATATATATACCGTCCACAACAATGCTATTATTGCAATATGATAGAATTATTATTGCATTGAAAACGAATCATAATCAAGTGGTGCAGTAATATCGAAGAAATTGAAAAAAAATCCTGGTAATGGAACGTTAAACTACGTCATGAAATTGTACTAACGAATGAAAAGATTAATAATTTGATATCGAATCGCTTCGCGTACGTGATACAGTGCGAATTGACGACAATTACTCGACACAGTTTATTATTAATATGAGCGGCAAGCGTGACGGAAAATACTACTTTTCGTGCGCGATTTGTCAGAAAGCACTATGCCCGTAATGTAATGCGGTAATCTCAGTAACGCAATAAATAATTTTATTACAAAATTATGCTATAAGAGCATTCCCACTTCTCTGTTTGATAAACACATACTTTTATTACTGTTATGTAGAGTTTGATTTGTATCGCTTTTGGCGCTCCTCTTTAATTTGGTACCCCTGTGCAAAGATACTGGCCCCCACCGGCAAGGCCGGTCCTGTTTACCATGAAGTTACCGACTGAACGTCGATCATTTTACGGTATGATGGCGGCGGTAGCGCGAGCAACTCGGCGTCGTTCTATTTTTTGTGCGCGTTTCTTCTTATTCGAAATGTATTCTGAGCGTGAATAAGAGTGCCGAGTGTTCAGCTATTGTTGTAGAGTCTTTTTAGTATGTGCGGTCGCGAGTATCAGTCTTTCGACATTCATATTAGTTGTATCCGTCGTATCGTGTTGAATGTACCTAATTTGTCGAGTTATCGAGTATTGAGGTGAAATTATTGTTTTTCGAGTTTTTTAAATGTAATGTCGGGAGTGTCGAATAAAGTTGCGGGCGATTGTCGTCAAGTGTTAACCAGCGCGATTATGATCTGATTTTTAACCTAGTAGATACTCGGCAAGTCGGTTGTTACATCGCGTCATGTTTGCCGCATCGGTGTGAAGTTTCCGTTTTTCAAAATTTTTAAACGTATCGTCGGGAGTGCCGAGTGAAATTACGCATGATCGTGTTTCGCGCTATCTATTTGTTCGAGAATGCATTCGTGTGTATAATGGTGCGTATAATGGTGTGGAATGCATTGTCGATCGACGTGATGATGAAGGTAAATGATGATAATTGACTTCTAGTTATATTGGCGTTTAGCATTTTTCGACTAGCGATGATGCTTTATCGAACATTGCAATCGCAATCGCAATACCAAACTTTTTTTTT